TGTTCCACTAACAGTAGTTGTTGTTTGTTCCACTAACAGTAGTTGTTGTTTGTTCTACTAACAGTAGTTGTTGTTTGTTCCACTAACAGTAGTTGTTGTTTGTTCCACTAACAGTAGTTGTTGTTTGTTCCACTAACAGTAGTTGTTGTTTGTTCCACTAACAGTAGTTGTTGTTTGTTCCACTAACAGTAGTTGTTGTTTGTTCCACTAACAGTAGTTGTTGTTTGTTCCACTAACAGTAGTTGTTTGTTCCACTAACAGTAGTTGTTGTTGTTTGTTCCACTAACAGTAGTTGTTGTTTGTTCCACTAACAGTAGTTGTTGTTGTTTGTTCCACTAACAGTTGTTGTTGTTTGTTCCACTAACAGTAGTTGTTGTTGTTTGTTCCACTAACAGTAGTTGTTGTTGTTTGTTCCACTAACAGTGGTTGTTGTTTGTTCCACTAACAGTGGTTGTTGTTGTTTGTTCCACTAACAGTAGTTGTTGTTGTTTGTTCCACTAACAGTAGTTGTTGTTGTTTGTTCCACTAACAGTAGTTGTTGTTGTTTGTTCCACTAACAGTAGTTGTTGTTGTTTGTTCCACTAACAGTAGTTGCAGATATAGATTAATACAGCAGTTTCCTCATTAATTGAACAGATGTTCAGCTCCATAAAACACTCTCTCTCCCCCTCATTGCCCCTCTCTGTCTCTCCACCAGGACGCCATAGTGATCCATGAGGTTTATGAAGAAGGAGCAGCAGCCAGAGACGGACGTCTGTGGGCCGGAGACCAGATTCTGGAGGTACTGTCAGCTGGTAGCTGTGTGGGGATACAGCAGCAGTAACTGTGGGTTTGTCTCCCCCTGCTGGACACAGACTGAATGTTTACTCAGTGAGGACTGTGTTTAATGTGTGTGTGTGTGTGTGTGTGTGTGTGTGTGTGTGTGTGTCAGGTGAACGGTGTGGACCTCCGCGGGGCGTCCCACGAGGAGGCCATAGCCGCCTTGAGGCAGACGCCGGCGAAGGTCCGCCTGACGGTGCTGAGGGACGAGGCTCAGTACCGGGACGAGCAGAACCTGGACCTGTTTAAGGTGGAACTGCAGAAGAAGAGCGGCAGAGGGCTCGGATTCAGTATCGTCGGGAAGAGGTCCGCCTTAAAAACAACACAACCAACACACAGATACACAACAGCACAGTGTGTGTGTGTGTGTGTGTGTGTGTGTGTGTGTGTGTGTGTGTGTGTGTTACTGTGTGTGTGTGTGTGTGTGTGTGTGTGTGTGTGTGTGTGTGTGTGTGTGTGTGTGTGTGTGTGTGTGTGTGTGTGTGTGTGTGTGTGTGTGTGTGTGTGTGTACCACTGACTCTGTGTGTGTGTGTGTGTGTGTGTGTGTACCACTGACTCTGTGTGTGTGTGTGTGTGTGTGTGTTACTGTGTGTGTGTGTGTGTGTGTGTGTGTGTTACTGACTGTGTGTGTGTGTGTGTGTGTGTGTGTGTGTACAGACTCTGTGTGTGTGTGTGTGTGTGTGTGTGTGTGTACCACTGACTCTGTGTGTGTGTGTGTGTGTGTGTGTGTGTGTGTGTGTGTGTGTGTGTGTGTGTGTGTGTGTGTGTGTGTGTGTGTCTGTGTGTGTGTGTTACTGACTGTGTCGTGTGTGTCTGTGTGTGTGTGTGTACCACTGACTGTGTGTCTGTGTGTGTGTGTGTGTGTGTACTGACTGTGTGTGTGTGTGTGTGTGTGTGTGTGTGTGTGTGTGTGTGTGTGTGTCTGTGTGTGTGTGTCTGTACTGTCTGTGTGTGTGTGTGACTGACTGTGTGTGTGTGTGTGTGTGTTAGGAGCGGCAGCGGTGTGTTTATCTCGGAGGTGGTCAGAGGAGGCGCTGCTGAGCTGGACGGCCGTCTGATGCAGGGAGACCAGATCCTGTCAGTCAACAGAGACGACACGAGACACGCCTCCCAGGAGACTGTCGCCGCCATCCTGAAGGTAACTGCACGAGTTCATTCTGCTGATGATACTTTTATTTAAAGATCCCCTCCAGACATGTTTTAAGACATAAATACAAACAGCCTTCTTATAATAATGTGTGTGTGTGTGTCTAATTTCCACATTAAAATCCTTTAAAAGTCCTTTGTGTCTGTGCACTGCTGGATCACACTGGATCCGGTACAGACTGGATCCATTACAGACTGGATCCATTACAGACTGGACCAGGATGGACTTCCTGAACTATTTGTGATGTCAAAGATCATGCTCGTAGGCCCCGCCCCTTAAACACAGAGAAAGGGAAGACACTGAGCTTTCAGCAGATGAATGTGAAAACAAACTGTAGGAACAAGAAGAAACACTGAAGTAAAGTATCTGATTACTTCCACTGACTGTTACCTGTATATGTGTGTGTGTGTGTGTGTGTGTGTGTGTGTGTTCTGCAGTGTGCTCGGGGTCCGGTCCTGTTGGAGCTCGGACGACTCAAAGCTGCGTCCTGGATCTCATCCAGACACAACTCACAAGGAAGCCAGGTGTGTGTGTGTGTGTGTGTGTGTGTGTGTGCGTGTGCGTGTGCGTGTGCTGTGTGTGTGCGTGCGTGTGTGTGTGTGTGTGTGTGTGTGTGTGTGTACTGAAGGTCTATCTTTGTGAGAACCAGTTTTAGAATAAGGCTTCCTAATAATTGACATTATAATATAAATATAGTTTGAACTGGAAGCTGCTGCGACCGGCTGCACCTCAGTGTGTTCTATAAACATAAAATAAAGTAAAATTAAAGTTCAAATACACTTAAAGGAAGTTTTATGTGGATGTAAAATATAAACTGTCTCTGTTCCAGATGAGTCATGTGAGTGGGAACAGCTCGGGTGTTGTGGCTCCGCCCTCTGACCCCCCGACCTCTGACCCCCCGACCTCTGACGCCCCGACATTGACCTCCGCCGGGTCCCTGCTCCTCAACAACAACATGAAGCCCGCCAGTGACATCACCTCCTCCTCCTCCAACAGCACAGGTAGCGTTCAGAGTTAAAGTGAAACAGGAAGTTGAGGTTTTATCTTCAGGGTTGATGTTGTGAAGGGATCTGGATCTACTGAGCGTCAGTCCGAAGAGTTAGAGCGGTTGTGTTACTAAAACACTATAAAACCAGATAAGTTCATTTAACTCAAAACTTTTAAATTTTTTTTTAAATTAACTAAATAAAAAAAAAAAAAACATTCTTGTTTAATGTGTTACTTAAAAATAATCAGTTTCAACTATTTTACTTGAAGTTTAAACAACTTTACATCACATTGCAGTGTAGTGTTAGATTTGGTTATTAATTATTGATCGCTGTTGTTTTATTTCTCTGTATATGTGTGTGTGTGTGTGTGTGTGTGTGTGTGTGTGTGTGTGTGTGTGCAGGGGTCGATGCCGGCATCCGTACAGTGGACATCACGCGGGTAAATGAAAGAGTACAAATACTGTATACATATACACATTGGACAAAAGAGTACAATAAATTAGAAATACTACAAAAAAACTAAGCGTGCTTTGTACTCGTGGCAGAGGTCAGTGGTGGAAGTAGGGGTCAGTTCAGGCTCTTTAATACATCATGTAAACTCTTTTATTCTGGATGGTTAGTGAGTGTGTTCTCTGTTTCCTCCCTCTCCCTCCCCTCAGGGTGTCAGTGACTCCCTCGGGGTGAGTATAGCCGGGGGGAAGGGCAGCCCGCTGGGTGACATCCCCATCTTCATCGCCATGATTCAGGCCAACGGAGTCGCCGCCAAAACACACCGACTCAAGGTAGACTGAGAGACGTACGGTTGCATGTGAGACTGTGTGGGAGTGAATGAATAATAATAATATAACTGAATTGTGTGTGTGTGTGTGTGTGTGTGTGTGTGTGTGTGTGTGTGTTCAGGTGGGCGACAGGATCGTCAGTATTAACGGTCAGTCTGTGGACGGTCTGTCTCACAGCGAGGTCGTCACCATGCTGAAGAACAGCTACGGGATCATCAGCCTGCAGGTGAGTACAACAGTAAACTACTTTAGTGGGAAGGGGGCACTAAAGGCGACTGTTTGTGGTTCACGTTTGAGTAAAAGAAGAATAAAGAAAGAAAGTAAATATTAACAACGGGCCGTATCGTGCTGCTGCGGAGGAGGAGGAGGAGGAGGATGTTGCTATCTCTGCGTCTGTAAATCTTATAAAGCAGTTCTTCACTAAACAGAATAAATGCGTACAGTACTGCAGTGGTCTGTGTGTGTGTGTGTGTGTGTGTGTGTGTGTGTGTGTGTGTGTGTGTGTGTGTGTGTGTGGGGGGGGTTCTTCTACAGTCTGACCACTGGATTCACCATCGATTCTTGCTAATCTAATTTACATCAGGGGCATTTCTCACATACACAAAACTCACAGACTGTACAGTTGAAACACACTAGATATGTATGAATAGTAAGTTAGTGTGTGTGTGTGTGTGTGTGTGTGTGTGTGTGTGTGTGTGTGTGTGTGTGTGTGTGTGTGCTCAGGTGGTAGCGGACACCAACATCAGCGCCATCGCCACTCAGGTAGAGAGTCTGTCCAGCAGCTGCAGTCTGACAGCCAACACGGACACACACACAGCAGAGCCAGAGTGAGTGCACACACACACACACACACACACACACACACACACACACACACACACACACACACACACAAGTATATGTAATGACAGGTGATGTTCACCTGGATCTGACCCCCCCCTCCTGCTCAGGGGTCCGCGGCCCCGCAGCATCAGTCTGGAGAAAGGCTCTGAGGGACTCGGCTTCAGCATCGTTGGAGGATTCGGCAGTCCACACGGAGACCTCCCCATCTACGTGAAGACCGTCTTCAGCAAGGTCAGAACCAGGCTAGCTGTTTCCACCTGCTTCCAGTCTTTATGCTAAGCTAGGCTAACCAGGTCCTGACTCTCTGTACACACACACACACACACATCTTTCACAGCATTTATCAAGTTCTCTTTTACCCAAACCTAACTGACAAAACTAGCTTTGTCAGTTAGTGTGTGTGAATATTTCTAACAACTAATCTCTACGTAAGAACTTTTAATGTAGTGATGATGAAACTAGAGTTTGAACTGTAGTGCTGCTGCATTCTGGTGTTGAATGAACATTAGAGCCTCACTGCGTGGATGTGGACGTATTGTTGGTTAAAAATGGATCGTTAGCAGCACCACAGCGTGTTGGTGTGTGTTTCAGGGCGCGGCGGCGGTGGACGGGCGTCTGAAACGAGGTGACCAGATCCTGTCGGTGAACGGAGAGAGTCTGCAGGGAGCGACACACGAGCAGGCGGTCGCCATCCTGAAGAAACAGAGAGGAAACGTCACACTGGACATCCTGTCATAACACACACACACACACACACACACACACACACCTGCATGCACACACCTGCACACACGTGCTCCTGGGACTCGATCAGATAAATGACAGACTCTTGGACTACATATCATCGTTATGGATCATGAACTGAACTTCCCAACATGCAAAAAAAGAGAGCCAGTAACCAGTACAACTGATGTCTGACCCACAGAGGTTCTGCAGCTGAAGAACCGATGGGCTCGTATTCTGGTGTTTGTTTGGGTCTGAGGATGGTGACATATTTACATTCAGTTTATCTTTTCTTCCAGCACCACCAAAACCAGTTTAATTCCACAAATACTCAATCTAATGAGCAGAATGAATGAACAGTTGTGTTTTCATAAAGCCTCAGAATAAGAGCCATTTCTTTTTTCTTCACCTCAATTGACCCTTCCTAAGCCCCGCCCCCCGCCGAGCTGTGCTCCAATCACAGTTGAGCATCTTTGGAGATCTCACCTTGAACTGAGGCTGATGATTCGATGGGTAAAATAATATTTAGTTGCAGCCCTGAAATGTATTACAGTTTATCTTAGAAATATAAATATAATGGAAATCCATCAAATGATTGTTGAGAATTGTCAACCTCATGGTGGCGTTAGACAAAACCTCGTAACCTCGTTCATAATAATCATAATGAAGTGACATTTAAATCCAACCTGTTAATATTGCAGAGGAACAAAAAGGGAAGATCTGTTCACTGACACTGCTGCTCACATTAGCTTAGCATCTCCTCTGTGGTAAAACTGGTTAGCAGTAGCAGAATTATAGCTTTAATTCAAACTTTATTCCATAAGAGACAAAATTAAAATGTTCCTTCATGATAGAGATACACTTGGAAAAGTTTCCTTTAAGTTCAAAATGAAATCTCTGTTAATCAGATAATTCAGCTCGTTAAAGAGTCTGAATTATTATCTACTATATTATTAACGAGGTCTTAAGTTCTTATAATTATTCAGTCCAGAGAACACAGAACAGATATTAAAGGAATGAATCCATACGACACACACACATTATATAAACTGTATAAACTCATGTCTCCATGGAGATGACTCTCAGGACTGGGTGGGCTTGGAGACCCCCTGTCGCCCCCGGCAACAGATACAGTGTCTTCCACATGATTGTTATCATGGAGACAAAAGTTTGTGTCTTATTAGAAAGACTTTCTAGAAGCAGGCGTGAATAAAAAGCAACAGAGCGACATTTCTCTCTCGTTCTCCCTCTTCTCCACGGCGTGTTAGCCTAGCTTAGCACAAAGACTGGAAGCAGGGGGAAACTGTTAGCCTAGCTCCTTGAAGAGAACAACACCTTTTAAACGACTCCAAACCGGTCGGATTTATTTTATTTGTCAAGTCTTTAGCATGGAAGTACGTTCATGTTCAAGTTGTTATTATCTTGTATGCTAACGTGCTAGAGGTAGGACGGACTCAAACCAACAACCCCACAAGTGTTTGTAATGTATTAAGGTGTTATTATTATATATTATTTAGTGCTCGGATTAAGGGTTTTTTATTGGGCAGAAACACCTTAAATGTGTCATTTAACACGCACAACTGAATCTGTTAGGGTGGAAATTAAGGACGTCTTTGTTACAGATTAAAGGGTTGAAAATGTAGAAAGCCGTTCTAAATATCTTAATTGAGCTTTTTCACAGCAATAGTAGGGTAAACACAGGTGTTACCAATGATACCGTGAAGAAGGTCTATTGAAAATACCGTAAATTAGTACGTTAATTAAAGGAACAAAGGTACTCAGTGTCGTAAGGACTTTAGCTCCGGTGCTAACAGTTGCTAAAGTTTCCTTTTACATTTTCATATTTTTACAACTCATCAATAAAAAAAAGACTCAACATGTAAATCAGACAGAGTTGAAGTTGTTGGAAAGGTTAGAACCGTTTCCCCTGATTCTAGTCTTTGTAGTCAAACAGACCTTTGTCTTTGTCCTCTGATGGAGTCACTTTTATTTTGGCAATATTTAAATTCACTAAGCGCCAAAGCTAAAAGATCTTTAACCTTAGATCTGTCCTCACTTTTATAAGCTGAGGCCGTTGAGCTACAGCAGCTCTTTGTAAGTCCGTCCTGAGTTAGCTGCTAACTGTAAACTATGATTGGTTGCTAGGAAACATCTGTTAGCGCCGTCCAATCGAGAGCATCCAATAATATAAACTGGAAGTCACTGTAGCGTCACAAGCTAGCATAACATCCAAAATTTAAATCTTTTCAAAAGGCTCAAAAGATAGAAATCTTGTCAAATGTAGTTTTATTTCTGGAGAAATAATTCACAGCTATCAGTGTTTATGCTAAGCTAATGGACGGTTACTCATTGAGTCCGTTTTTAATCATTTGAGGTGTTTTGTGAAAAAGAATCTTCCAGATTTTAATCATTATTAAACACAATTTATCAAGTAGAACGAGACTAATTTAAAAACCTAACACTCTCTCAACCAATAAAAGCTGATTGCAGGTTTAATTTCTCTATTCTGTTTATTCTCTATTCTGTTTATTCTGTTTATTCTCTATTCTGTTTATTCTGTATTCTGTTTATTCTCTATTCTGTTTATTCTGTTTATTCTGTTTATTCTCTATTCTGTTTATTCTGTATTCTGTTTATTCTGTATTCTGTTTATTCTCTATTCTGTTTATTCTGTTTATTCTGTTTATTCTCTATTCTGTTTATTCTGTATTCTGTTTATTCTGTTTATTCTGTTTATTCTCTATTCTGTTTATTCTGTATTCTGTTTATTCTGTTTATTCTGTTTATTCTCTATTCTGTTTATTCTGTATTCTGTTTATTCTGTTTATTCTGTTTATTCTCTATTCTGTTTATTCTGTATTCTGTTTATTCTGTTTATTCTGTTTATTCTCTATTCTGTTTATTCTGTTTATTCTCTATTCTGTTTATTCTCTATTCTGTTTATTCTGTTTATTCTGTATTCGGTTTCAGATTCAGGGAGCGGATTTGATGAAATGCTAACAAACATTATCTGGAGAACAAGAGGATTTAATAAAACGTCGGACTGTTGCTTTCTTATATTTTACAATGTGACGGTAGTTGTGCGTCAGCAGAGTTTTGCTAACGTTAAGTTCGATACCACAGTACTCTGTTCAGATATTTAGGTTAATTAAAACTATTTAGAACAGTTTGTTTCTGAGGAAATGATCTGTTGAGCTTCCTGTACTTTATACATATCAATCAAGTGCAAAATACTTCATGTTCAGCTTTTTGTTGCCATAATTACTGTCTTCATTTTTGGTACTTTATTTGTAGATGTCACAGAAGAACTGTAATTTATTTTTTGATTGCTGGAAATTAACAATGTCTTTTTTGTTGCGTTGTTTTATGTTTTGTCAGAAATCACAATGGAAACCCTGCAGCTTCTGTTTGCCTTCACACAGGAGTCAAAAACCAGCTGGGGCTGCACTTTATTTTACATCATTTCCTCACGTTACCTGGAAAGAACTGTCATTTGGTTGTATTTATAGAGAAAATACAGTTAGTGTTCAGTTGAATCTTTTAGTCAGAGCACAATAAATGAATAATGAATTGCCACTCTTTGAGAGAAATTACTTATCAAAAAAAACCTGCTCAAATGTGCCGTTGTAACTGGATTTGTTTGCATCTCAAATTAGCCGAATTAGCTGTTAGCAGCTCCTGTTTGCAGGGAACCCATAGATGTACGGACAACTATCACTGGATTACTTCGATACTGAAGAAAACTTAAAAACGTGATGATTCTCAGGCAAGTTCTGCAGTGTGTTTTTTCAATGATTTCTAAGTGGATTTATGGACGTTTATTGTGGGCGGACATCAGAGATATAAATGTGTGTTTCATGTCTGTGTGTTCACATTGGACTGATTAGGATTTTTGATTTAAATTCACTTCCTGCAGTATCTTTGCCTTCCACTGCTTCTGTCTTTCTCTTTAGTCTTCGTCCTGCTGAATCCTGTAGTATCACCAAGGTTAAAATAATCTGAAATCCAATGGAAAAATCACTTTTAGACAACACTAACTTCAGGTTGGACCACAAAAATACCTCCAGGCTTCAGGAGTAACAGGTTACATCTAACTTCAGGATACCAAAAACAAAGGAACTTTAATCCATGTCGTCAGAATAAAAAGACGTAATCAGATTACAGCTATATTTAGTATAAAAGGAGATTATTGGGATTTTATTAAAATACATCACAGTACATTTCAATTTCTGCCTTTCAGCTATGAAAATGGTCTGTAAACTACTACCTGAATTTACTTCATGAAAAGCTTGTTAAGAAAGTTTTTCTTAAAGAATGTACAGAGTTAAGGACACATTGGACAAAAATCTTCCATTTTCTTTCTAAGGTTAAATCAATCTGTTGTTGTATAGAATAAAAATCATCTTATTGGTATTTCTTTTTTCTTTTCTTTTGCATATTTGGTGTTCAGGTTATCCTCCGTACAGTAAGGCATTACGAGTAATAATGTTACAATAATATCATTACTTTCCCTTGTAACTAGTAGTGTAACTAATTACTAATAAATGTCAGTAATAATATTGCAGTTACCCCCAAAATGTAATTAGTTACAATATTAATTTTGTTGATGGCAAAATGATTGAGGCCGTGCCAAAATGTTAAAGAAGGCTTAGGATTAGATTTAGATTTTTTTTTTTCATGAACTTCTTTAGTCTACTCACCGATTAATTCTCTGGAAGTAGTTTGTAACATAAGACCTGGAAATGGCAGAAATGGTGCCAATATTTGAACATTAAATTCAATATGGCCGACTTCCTGTTGGAGCTTTTTGTACATGTTAACATCATACATAAGCCTGAAGATTGTCATACATGCCGGTCCAACTGGACAGCGGGGCTGCTTTTCAAAGTTTTGTAGGGGGTGCTGTTGAGCCATTTAGGCTAACATACTCCTCGTGGGACAACCAGGTCTCAGTAAGACAAAGTAAATCAATATCATAATCTGATATTAATTCATTCACTAAAACAGCTTTAGAGGACAGAGACCTGATATTTAACAGTCCACATTTCATTCTCTTATTTTGTGCTTGAGGAGTTGGTTTTAATTTATGATTTTTAAGTTGACTCCTCTTGTTTTTAATAGTTTAAATAATTTAGGTGGTCAGGGGACAGACACAGTCTCTATGGGGTTTTGGGTGGGTGACTGTTCTAAAGAAAGCGCAGAGAAGAGTGTAAGACAGCAGCTCTGCTTCCTGGTCCTAACTCTGGACTGTCAGGTTTTAGAAATAAACTTCGCCATATTGCTAGATAAGAGAGCCGCTCCATCCAAAGTGGGATGGATGCCGTCTCTCCTAATCAGACCAGGTTTTCCCCAAAAAGGCTTCCAGTTATCAATGAAGCCCACATCGTTTGCTGGACACCCCCTCGACAGCCAGCGGTGGAATGACGACATGCGGCTATACATGTCATCACTGGTCAGATTGGGGAGGGGTCCAGAGAAAACTACGGAGTCCGACATTGTCTTAGCATAGTTACACACCGACTCCACATTAATCTTAGTGACCTCCGATTGGCGTAAACGGGTGTCATTACCGCCGACGTGGATAACAATCTTACTGTATTTACGTTTATCTTTAGTCAGCAGTTTTAGATAGGATTCAATGTCGCCCGCTCTGGCCCCAGGGATACATTTAACTGTTGAGCTGCCAATAACCACAGTTGGTTTCTCTCTCTCTCTTCTCTCTATTACAAATAATATAAATACACTGTTACTTACATAATCTGTGCAAATACACACATTCTATTAACATAAATTAACTGATTAAAAAAGAAAGAAGTTGCTGCAGATGTGGTATTTTTAATGCTGCCATTTTGTCAATATATTTAATATATTTTTTCCTACTTTAAACAAATGTGTATATTTCATTGTTCAATGCAAAAAAAAGAAAAAAAATGAAACGTTTCTAGTGTGCATGTCCCTTTAGGGGCTCCATACAAAACAGTTAAATATAAATAATATAAATATGCTCTTACTCACAGATACAGTGCAGATGATGTGTACAGACTTGTTGTTTCCTGATTCTTGTGCTCTGAGCTCACAGTCAGTGTTACTGTTTGACTCTCAGACTGACTTCAGATCAGAAGATGAGTGTTTGTGTGGAGGAAGAGGAGGACAGAGCAGAGTCTCCAGTGTCCAGCTGTCTGTCTATAAAGAGTAACTGGTCCAAAGATATTCCTATACGCTTCAGAACTGAACCTGGACCCTCAGAATCACAGTAAGATACTAAGTAATTTGTATTAGGGCTGAATTATTAATCTAATTGCAATCGTGACAACTCACTGTGCGATTAAACCGTGAAAGGTTTCAATTTAATTAAAGTCTGTGCAAAGCAAAAAAAAATATGATCTCTGAGTTTCTGTGAGAAAGAAAACCGTGTTATTAACGCCAAACGTGAATGATTTAAAAAATCGCCAAATATATGAAATTAGCTTTCAAAAGTGGGAAAAATTAACATTGTTCTCTGCTCTGAGCCTCTGGGGGGCGCTGAAGCCTCGCCACTCTGAACTGAACAAAATGATGACTGCAGGAAAGTTAAACCCTGATGAGTAAAGAGACAACTGACAGTCAGCGTATAAACCAAACAAAACACAATTACACGTGTTTATAAGTGTAATGCCATATGTGTGACTTAATAATTAATATGTTACAACCAAGCTTATTTGTCCAAATGTTGGACATTCAAAATGTCCTTTTTTAATGAGAAGTTGTATTTTTCATATTAATTATTCTATTTACTTTGTTTAGTTGTGTAGTATGACCTTTTCTCCAAATTGTGCAGCCATAATTTATATGACTCAGTTTCCTCTGACAATGCCATGTTTGTTTGTGGATTCTTCTCCCTGAATGACTTTGTCATCTAAAAATGTATCAAGGATTCAGGCGATATGAATATAAACATGTTGGTGTTTGCAGAGTTCAGACCAACAGACAGAGGGCAGAGTCTCCAGTGTCCAGCTGTCTGTCTATGAAGAGTGACCGGTCCAAAGATCTTCCTGTACAGTTCAGTAAAGAAACTGGACCCTCAGACTCACAGTAAGAGACTGTTTTTACTGTAACTGACCTGATGATGATGATGTTTTGAGGATGAAGACAAATTGTTCTGCTAAAATATTGGTATTTATAATGAGACTAAAGAAAACTATTCCTATTTTTCCTGGTTCAAAAGACCTGAAATTAAAATCTGAAAGAAACCGTTTGAAATGTATTTATTAGTTTGGCTCTTCCTCAGATCAGCTGTTCTGATTCTGTGTGTGACAGTTTGCTCTTTAATGAACTACTTCTGTAAAATATGCTGAGGACATTTTCAGCTCAAAGGTCCACTTACTAATGATTGAGAGCTCCAGTTGAAAGCTTTGAATCATTAGTAAGTGGACCTTTGAGTTCAGATTCTCTCCCCGTATATTGTTCCTGAAGGTGAAGAACAAACTTTTACTTTGAAGTACTGCAGGAAGTGTTGAGTTTGTATTAATAACAAACTACAGGCTGATCAGTAAATGTTTAATAAGACAGAAAATCAGTTAATTAGTGTCCATGAAAGCAGGAGAGTTGAAATAAAAGGAACAATAGTTTCATTACAGACTGAAAGCTGAATTCAAACAAGTAGTGAGAAGTTGTTTAGAAACAAGGTCTCCCCATAGTGGCACAGTCCTTAACTCACCTTCCCTGGAGATACAAAGGTCCAGGGTTCGAGTCCTCAGGTGGTCAACAATGTGGCAGATATCTGCTCATTTGCTGCTTGTGGCTATTTTATTGATTGTTTTTATATTGGTAATGAAATGAATCAGCAGATTGTCAAAATTTGTTTGTTTTCTCTTTTTAGTGAATGCTGGTCTGCAGAAGGTTTTAGATCAGCATAAGATCAGTCTGAAGACGAGATGTAAATATGTGTCTGAAGGAACTGATGAACCAGGAAGGGGAACCCTCCTCAACAGGATCTACACTGAGCTCTACATCACAGAGGGACAGAGTGAAGAGGTTAATACCCAACATGAAGTGAGACAGCTTGAGACAGCTTCCAAGAGGAAGAGCCTCCATGACGCTCCAATCAGGTGCCACGACATCTTTAAAGCCTTACCTGACCAACAGAGACACATCAGAGTGGTTCTGACGAACGGTGTCGCTGGCGTTGGAAAAACCTTCTCAGTGCAGAAGTTCACTCTGGACTGGGCAGAAGGCTTTGGAGAACCAAGATGTCAGTCTGGTGGTTCTGCTTTCGTTCAGGGAGCTGAACCTGATCAAAGATGAGCAGTACAGTCTTCTCAGACTGCTCCATGTTTTCCATCCAACATTACAGAAGGTCACAGCAGAGCAGCTCACTGTCTGTAAACTTTTGTTCATCTTTGACGGCCTGGATGAAAGCAGACTTTCACTGGATTTCCACAACAATGAGGTTGTGTCTGACGTCACACAGAAGTCTTCAGTCAACGTGCTGTTGACAAACCTCATCAAGGGGAATCTGCTTCCCTCGGCTCTCGTCTGGATAACTTCCAGACCTGCAGCAGCCAATCAGATTCCTCCTAAATGTGTTGACAGGGTAACAGAAGTACGAGGCTTCACTGACGCCCAGAAGGAGGAGTACTTCAGGAGGAGAGTCAGTGATGAAGATCTGTCCAACAGGATCATCTCACACATCAAGACCTCCAGGAGCCTCCACATCATGTGTCTAATCCCAGTCTTCTGCTGGATCACTGCTACATGTTGACTACAGACCAGAGAGGAGAGCTGCCCAAGACCCTGACTGACCTGTACTCACACTTCCTGCTGGTTCAGACAAAGAGGAAGAAGCAGAAGTATGATGTGGGACGTAAGAAGAGTCCACAGGAGCTGATGGAGGCTGACAGGAAGGTTCTTCTGAAGCTGCGGGAGGCTGGCGTTTGAACAGCAGCAGAAAGGAAACATCATGTTGTACCAAGAAGACCTGAAGAAGTGTGGTCTTGATGTCAGAGAGGCCTCTGTGTGAGTTTGTACAGAGATCTTCAAAAGAGAGAGTGTGATTTTCCAGAAAACAGTCTACTGCTTTGTTCATCTGAGCATTCAGGAGTTTCTGGCTGCAGTCTACATGTTCCACTGTTACACCAACAGTAAGAAAACAGAACTGAAGACTTTCTTGGGTCAAAAATATGTTAATTCAACTCTGGATGTCTTCCTGAGGGAAGCAATGATGAAATCCCTGAAAAGTAAAAATGGCCATCTGGACCTGTTTGTTCGCTTTCCTTCATGGCCTCTCTCTGGAGTCCAACCAGAGACTCTTAGGAGGCCTGCTGGGTCAGACAGACAAGATTCAAGAGAGCCATCAACAACCTGAAGAAGATGAACAGTGCTGATATCTCTCCTGACAGAAGCATCAACATCTTCCACTGTCTGATGGAGATGAACGACCACTCAGTCCATCAGGAGATCCAAGAGTTCCTGAAGTCAGAGAACAGATCAAAGAAGGAACTCTCTTTGTTCCACTGCTCAGCTCTGGCCTACATGCTGCAGATGTCAGAGGAGGTTCTGGGTGAGTTTGACCTGCAGAAGTACAACACATCAGAGGAGGGACGACGGAGACTGATTCCAGCTGTGAGGAACTGCAGAAAGGCTCTGTGAGTCCAGATGTGTTAACATTATAAAGCAACTTAAAGCTGAAGGCATCAGTATTAGTAAACATACACACATGCACTGTATAAATCTTTTACACCATAAACTTTTTCTTAAACTAGTGTTAAACGTGCTTATTGAATAAGTTATCAATAGATATTGATTATTGATAATTATATCAATTATTGTAGGTGCAACAAGTTGTTTGGATCAATAAACTGTCTTTAAACTTAATTAAAGTCCTCGGGAACTACCCTCTAAACAGAGGGAAATGATAGAAGGTCTATTGATCAAAGTCTCATCTAGCATAAATTATGACCCTTTAATTAACAATTAAATAATCAAAATAAAATGGTATAAGTAACAATTCTCAGGCCACAAATCCAACTGTAATCTGATTACAGTGAGGTTGTGACTCTAAGAAGGTAACAAAACAGGCTGAAGGAACGCTTTAGAGTTCCTTGCGTAGCTGAGGCTGATTTCCGCACAACATTTAGGCAAAAACAACCAAAAGGCACTTCTGGTCAAATATAACAGAATTTATTATATCATAGCAACGCTAAATATACAATCAATTCCACAAAATAGAGCCAAAAACATAAAACAAAAGTCCTAATAAGTAGTGGAGACTATATACAAGTGTGTGTGCACCTGTGCACGTGTGTAGGTGTGAATGTAACAAAAGGGGAAAGATGGCGGTCTCAGACCCTGCAGGGGTCCTGAAGCAAACCACAGTTAACAAAGGAGAGAGAGGGTGTGGTGAATGGAGGTCTTGGGACCGAGACCACGTGAGGGGAAGCGAGAATACACACAACGGAGTTAGTGGAACAGACGGGAGAGTTTAACAACACCGGCCTGAACGGCTCTGAACCACGGTGATAGTCACTCTACGTGTGTGTAGGTTCCTAAGTCAGTGGAGGAAAAGAGAGCGAGAGAAAGAGAAATAGCGTGGAAATAGGAGAGGCGTGCGGGACCTTTAACTGCTATGAAATCACTCCCAATAGCAAGACTGAGCGATCAGTCCTGTAAAACTCAGTTTCATACAGTTAAAACTCCCAATAGCATTCACTATACCCGCCAACAAGCAGTGCTCAAATGTACAATCAATCAAATGAAAGTAACAAATCATCACACAATGATCAAAACATAGAATACACTGATCAATGATTTAGTGTCTATTTAACTGTTTAACTAAATCTGCCAAGAATGTCAGCCTTACTTTAGGGACTCACTCCTTGTGATCCCGATGCTGGTCGCCTTGGTCCGTTCTTTAGAAGACAATGTTCGTTGTTGTATGCAGCGAACTTACCGGTATATTGGAGCATCATGAAGTATCTTCTATTGTCTTCTAACTATCTTTGTTTGGGTGGAGGTTTAATACAAATCCAGCTGAAAAACTTTGGGAGGGTAAAGAAAAAGAGGGAGAGGAAGAGAGGAGCTCAGTGCACCATGGGAAATCCCCCGATAGTCTAGGCCTATAGCAGCATAACTAAGGGATGGTTCAGGACTCACCTGATCCAGCCCTAACTATAAGCTTTATCAAAGAGGAATGTCTTAAGCCTACTCTTGAATGTGGTGAGGGTGTCTGCCTCCCGAACCACAACTGGAAGCTGGTTCCACAGGAGAGGAGCTTGGTAACTGAAGGCTCTGGCTCCTGTTCTACTTTTAGAGACTATAGGAACCACAAGTAGCCCAGCATTCAGAGAACGTAGTGTTCTAGAGGGGTAATAGGGTACTATGAGCTCTTTAAGATATGAAGGGGCCTGACCATGAAGAGCTTTATAGGTGAGGAGGAGGATTTCAAATTACAGAAAAAACAGAAAAACAGTCTAAGTGTATATCTGATTTTACATTTGTTAAGATTCCTGTTTTTGGGGATACATCGTTACCTGTTGGGGGCAGTTGGTGATTATTTGTCTGTATTCACAGACGTTCTGGTCATAAGCTCTCAGAGACTCACTGTGAAGTTCCGGTCTCTCAACCCCTCCAATCTGAGAGAACTGGACCTGAGTGTCAACAACCCTGAAGGATTCAGGAGTGAAGCTTCTTTCTGCTAGACTGGAGAGTCCACATTGTAAACTGGAGACTCTGAGGTCAGTTTATGTGTTTGTATCTACCAAATTTAATAACTCAGAATTCAGTTTGTACTCAATTTGGATTGGTGTACTGTACTGTAATGTAAAACTGTAGGATTTATCTTAGAAATTATCTTTAAATAGACAAATCTTTATTTAAAAAATGTAAAGAAGTTGAACGCATTTACAGGAAAAATGTCTTTTATAACTTTTTTTATATTAAAGCTCCAGTGTGTAACATTTATGAGGATCTATTGTCAGAAATGTAAAATAATATTTTTAGGTATGTTTTCATTAGTTTATAATTATCTGATGTTTGTTAACTTTGAATGAATAGCTTTTATCTACAGAGGGAGCGGGTCCTCACTCACAGATAATGTAATTGTGAAGTCTTTCCAATCATCCATTTTCCCCTTCTTTAGTAGAAGGTGTATTTTCTGTGTGGTGTTAAATGAGGTGTTAAATCCTTTAAAGATTTATACATTCTTGATATAGCCTGTTTGATACAGTGTAGTGCATCACACTTATTTTACCAAGGCTCGCCTAGCTAAGATATACAATGATGTCTCTCTGACTTGTGGTGGTGTCATCAGGCCCCTGCTAACCTTAGACACATGCTCTGGCTCTGTCCATCCTAGCTTCACTTCTGGGTATTTAATCCTCTGTCTGAAATACTGGGCCGAAAGCTCGACCCTAACCTTCTCGGTGCTCTCTTCGGGGGCTCCTTGTCCTCTTTCTCTGTATCCCAAAAGGATGTAATAGTTTTCACCACTTTACTGGCTAGAAGACTGACTCAGTGAATCTGTCAAAAAAACAAATTAAGTCTGATTAAAATGATAAAAATACAGAATACAGACAGAGAATGAAAATATCAGGAAAACTCATCTGTGATCAGTATTCACAGGAAATAATCAAACTTCCTGCAGTGGTGGAGTTCACTATTTGGGTTCATTGATCGGTTGATCAGCTGTTCTCTGCTGTTATTGATTCTGATCAATAGAGTATGAAATATATATAAAATCTGTCACTGAGTCGGTTTATTTAATGATAGAAAAGAGCTCCCTGAAGGACAAAGGTTGGAACCAGGTTACATTTCAGATTCAGAGAACTTTGCTCGCTCACATTTGATCCAGTTATTAAGCTGATTGAGGATGAAGCTCACAGTCAGTCTGTGGGCTGATGAAGATGACTATGGTGATGGAGATGAGTGTGCTGATGAAGACGACTGTGCTGATGAAGATCTATGGTTTGAAATGGAACAAAAACATTAGTCTGTCTGATGAATGAAATGAGTGCAGTAGTGATACAGCGATGTGTGGAGAGTCGGGTTGATGGCACATCACAGTTCTACCTGGTCGTTGTTATAATTCATCTTCAATCTCAGGTTGAGTGTGTTGTTAAATCCCTAATGGCAGAGGTTAAGAGCTGAAGTCACTACGTCTTTATTGAAGCAGCAGCACGTTGTCATTAATATTAATGAGAGCTCTTTTTCACCTCTTTGTATTTTACAGTTTGCAACCTGCATCCTGTTGGGTTCAGGTGTTTGGAGTTTCCATTTTCTAAACTTGTACATTGTAAACCTTCTTCAGCTCTGAACAGATTATTAAACACTGAATGATTTCAAGCAGGAACATTGTCTTCTAAACTCACATCTTTTATTCTTTATTCAGATTGAGTTGGTGCAGTTTGTCAGAGATCAGCTGTGATTATCTGGTCTCAGCTCTGAAGTCCAACCCCTCCCATCTGAGAGAGCTGGAGCTGAGTGACAACAACCTGAAGGATTCAGATGTGAAGCTGCTGTCTGATCTTGTGGAGAGTCCACACTGTAGACTGCAGACTCTGAGGTCAGTAGAGGGTCTGAGTCAGTCCATGCTGGTTCCAGCAGTCTTGGACTAAACACAGATCCAGTATTTGCTGCTTTCCTCAGTGAAGCTGTGAGAGGAGAATGGGGACAGGCTTCAGGATTGGACAGACAGACAGACAGAGAGAGAACAGTCAGCCAATCAGAGAGCCAGAAGCTTGTTGTGATCATGTGTTTGAGTTGATGTGAAGACGACTGTTGTTGTTGTGTTCATGTGTTCAGGAAATAAAGCTGGATTCCAGCTGACAGCATTACAAGATGTATAGAGACAGTGGTCCTCATTCATCCAGTCTGATCTCACACTGTTTGTTCTCTCATTTCTACACTAAACAACTGATCAGTTGGTCTTTGTCACAGCTCTGAGATCAGTCTGACTGAAGCCTGCAAACAAGCATCATTACATTTAGTGACCATGTGGTCTTTGTACAGACCAGGACCTCTGCTGGAGTCCAGTACCCACAGCTGATGTGTTGCTGTTCAGTCTTTGTATGAACATGTAGGACCTTTAACATCAGATATATATCTGTCCATTTGTCTCTTGTTTGTCCAAATAGTTTGAATATTTACACATTTGTCCTGTAAGATTTCAGATGAAACATTCAAATGTGACTGAGACTGTGGTTTTTATCAGCTTTGAACCCTAACAGCAGTAAATGCATCATTCCAGTGGGCAGTGAATGTCTCTCTGTTTCTGCAGTAATGATGTGTTCAGTCCCTGCTGCTCTTTATACTGGATGTGCTGATGGAGGGAGTCTCTGTAAACACTGATTTATCTCTGCTGTCCTCTGTCTCCTTCTCTCCTCAGATGGAGGTGGTGATCTCAGTCAGACTGTGAGTGGTGAGGAAGGAGGTTGTGTTGGAGGATCCGCTGTGTCCTGATGATCCAGAGAGGTTGAAGCAGCAGCATCAGCTCTGACTGGGCCATGTTACTGGGAGGTAGAGTGGAGAGGAGAGCTTTATCCAGCAGTGACTGACAGAGGATTCTGACTCTCAGTGCTGCAGTCTGAACTGCTCTGAGATCAGCTCCATATGTGTTCCTCTGGATCATGTGACAGAGTATCATCAGTGTATCTGAACTACAGTCTCTGCAGACACACTGAGACTGCTCCACCTGGACCTGGACCTGAGTCTGGATTTAGGTTCTCTTTTGAAGATTAGTTCTGTTTATGACAACATAATTGTAAATGTATTTTATTGTCAGTGAAATCTTATTATCCGTTACAGTTAAACTATTAATTATCAAATACTGAGCCAATTATTGACTCAATCAACTGTTGACTGAATGACGTTTTTAGATGTTTTGTCCTACCAACAATAAGGTCACACAGAATTTACCAGGATTTGTTGAATTGTTGAGATCACAACTTCCTGCAGTGACTCTATAATCTTGTCCCAGAACTTCAGTAACAGTAAATATTAGCAGAGAAATATCAAAGATACGTAAAATGTCCCAAACACTGCAGTCGCTGCTCTACTGGTCTATATATCGGCTGATTCATCAATCACACTCTAATGCTACTATTTCATTATTGTAAACTAAACACTCAGACTTTGAAACCCTAAAACCTGCAGCTCAGTTTGATCCCATTTCACTGATATTGATCCAAAGAGCCTCCATGGTGGCTCTGATATTGTGAATGATCGTTCTGTCTCTTCTGATTATTGATCTTGTCTGTTGGAGCTGTGTTTTATTAAAATGAATTAAAGAGAGCACAATCGACCTCGCTGGACTCTTTTTGAACTGTAATCTGTTTGAACGTCATCAGACCGACTCAGGAACCACAGGTCAGAGGTCACCATCTGTTTTCTGGAAAATGAGACTTTTCTGTCGTTGTGTTTAATTATTAATGGCAGTTATTCTTTCATTGATCAGTAATGAGAGACGACACAGCAGTTTGTTAGAAAAGATAACTTATTAATCAGATCACAGGACCGACAGCTGCTTTTCCTCCTGTTCACTGATCTCAGTCTGTGACTGGAGACCTTTTACAAAGTCAGAAAAATACAGGCACACACATATTGATCTAGTTTAAGCCTCCGATCAGGTGACAAAAGATTAATAATCAATATAATGTTATAGTTCTGCTAAATTAATTTTGCTGCATTTTCAACATGGATGATATCTGAAGTTCCTCATCGTAAGCTCCACCTGCCTGGGACAACAGGTACAACTAAACAAAGATAATATTAACACAAAGAAACATCATCTGTAAAAAAGAATTTTCTGTGTGTTTTGTCTCCGTCCAGATTTGGTGCCGACGGCGTTAAGGCATCCAATAGGATCAGTTCAGGACGGTCACATGGACGTAACCTTATCGTCAGCGCTGCCGAACGCCAGGTTGTCGAAGGCGTTTGGGTCTTCTTTGCTCCTGATGGACAAACAGAAATTATTAAATGCAAATTCCAGCAAATAGTACAGTTTCTTTTTCTTCTGTCAGGGTGAAAATATTATTCGATTATTGTCCTTAAATGTGACAATTCTTCCATGTGATTGGTCGTGATGTCGGTCCTACCTGACCATCTCCAGGGTGGTCTCGTAGGTGTTTCCGAATTCATTTTCTCCAGTTGACTCCACAGTGCTCTTCCTCCTGCATACAGATGGACTCTGTTAGACTGCATTAATAATCATTTATTTATTCAAATCTATCCATTGTTTAATTCTGAGTCAATTATTTGATTTGGTCCATAAAATATCAGAGAATTGAGATTTTAAGAGCAAATTAATCATTTGACTCAGCTCTTGTTTTTATCCACAGGCGTAGCTGAGATCTGAGAGTTGACACCAAACGACCCATTATTCCCAAACCCCAATAGTCCGATAAATGTCCCATTTGTCCGACGGCCCATTATTTAAAGAACAGTGTACTGCTCCGAAGGCCCATTTATCCAAATAATACACTCTCCCTGGAATTCTTTGACCTTAATATCTTCAGCGGAGTCGATAATGGTATCGATAAAATCCGATCAATTACTATCCATAATGGTAATAACACACATGTTAACAAAAATTTAAGAAAAAAAAAGGGGTTTTTTTTTTTGGGGTTTGGGGTTACGGTTTTTTTTTTGGAACAGCGGCACTGCACCGTCAACACAACCCTCAGAAACATCAGCACTGCTCTACTGTCTACAAATGCTTTTTGTTTGCTGATATACACGTATTACTGTACATATTAGTTTATGTCTATTGATACTGTTAGTCTATGTTTGTACATTGAGAACAAGGTAAAACTGGAGTCAAATTCATTGTATGTGTGCACACACCTGGTCAATAAAGTGATTCTGATTCTGATTTAGACCTGACAGAAAGAGAGGGTCTATAAAGTTATTTCAATATTGGGACTTTCAGCATTTCCTTTTAGTTTAGGACTTTAACTACTATAATTATCATTATATATCATTACTCATCTGATTATTTACTCAATCTCAAAATGACGTCTTTAAATAACAAATCAAAACCAACAATAAGGTCACACAGAATTCACCAGGATTTGTTGAATTGTTGAGATCACAACTTCCTGCAGTGACTCTATAATCTCGTCCCAGAACTCCAGTAACAGTAAATATCAGCAGAGAAATATCAAAGATACGTAAAATGTCCCAAACACTACAGTCGCTGCTCTACTGGTTAATATATCGGCTGATTCAATTAATGGATGCTGATTGATTTCCTGTCAAAGGATTAATTGATTAATAATCATTTCAGAGCAATATTTTATAAAGTGAAATATGTTTAACCAGTTAACTACAGCTGTGAGATTAATGTAGAGCACAACGCAGCATGGAGCTCTGTGGGCAGCTCGCAATCTACCCGTTCAGGATCTCTTCAATCCAACACCGACTATCTGTCGACCAAATTAATATTATATATGGTATAAATTATATAATTCTGATAACCGATGAATATGCTACCATTGCCTCTCTCTGCTTTTTCCCTTTGTTCTTCGTGGTTCTCTCCTGCAACCTGACTGGATGCTGTCGAACTGGTTTAAACTCAGAGGATCTTTCATGTGATTGGTCGTGATGTAGGTCCTACCCGGTCATCTCCAGGGTGGTCTCGTAGGTGTTTTCAAATTCATTTTCTCTCGCTGACTCCACAGTGCTCTTCCTCCTGCATACAGATGGACTCTGTTAGTTCTTTTCATTTTATTTTGTCTATAAAATATCACAAAATTAAGATTTTTAGGATGAAATGTATCAGTTTGAACAGTTAACTGTTTTCATTTAGAAATACTGAGTGAACTGGTTTAAACTAAATGGATCTGAAGTGTTGATTGCTGGGAATGAACAGAAGCTGATTGAGGAAATTAACCGATTTGTTGGACGCTTTTTAAATACTTTCTAATCTTTGGGCTCGGGGGAAGGTATCAGCTATTTTCTCGTCAAAAGGCTCAAGTCCAAGTCGGAGTCTACAGTCAGCAAATCTGTAGCTCGAGTCCACACCTCTGTTAATCAGTGTTAGTTAATATTGGATTTTTGATTCAGTTAATACTTGGATTTAATTAATATGTGACTGGCAGTAATCTCCACTGTATGACATTAAAGCACAGATTGAACTGCTGCCTGTACGTTTCCTGTAGTTGTACCAGTTTATTGAAGTGTACAAACTATAAAAGTAAACAATATAGAGCGTCTTCAGTAATTTCCACAGTGGAACGAAGAATGTGAAGGTTGCTAGTCGTACCTGATCGTGTCCAGGTTGGTCTCGTAGGTGTTTCCGTTGGTCACAACAAATTCATTTTCTCTGTCGGACTCTGACTCCACAGCGGTCTTCCTGCAGACAGACTCTGTTAGGACTGCATTATCTACATTGGTTTCAAGTCAATTATTTCTTTTAAATATCAGGAAATTAAGATTCTCTGTATTTTCCACCATTTTTCTTACTTTATTTTAAGTCTGTAACGACAACTATAATCAACAATAACTGCAGATTATTCCCTCGATTAATACATTTATTTAGTCTGTAACTTGAAATTGTAAAATGACGTCTTCAGATGTCTTGATTTGTCCGACCAACCTAAACCAGAAATATATGTATATGTATATTTTTTAAAGCCTGGACAAACACATTATTGATGAATTGATAAATCATTTCAGAGCAATATTTTACAGGGTTAAAGAAAAGTAACCAGTCACTTTACATCAGATTTCTATTGTGCTTAATTAATTAATAATAATACTTTTTATTCATAGATACGTTTGTCTTCCCCCTGACCGACCTGCTGGGTTTCTCACACCAGGCCTTTTTCACCAGCAAAGTGACGAAGACGAGGAAGAGGAAGGCGGAGACGGCGATGATGCCGGTGAGCCACTGAGGCAGCAGACGCTCGATCTGAGGCTGAGCTGCAACACAAACACAGAGGTCAAAGGTCAGCGAACGTCCAAATACGTTTTTTAGTCACACAAACAATTGTTTTATACAAATGATAATAAACCTTAAAGTTTTAACTCCAGAAGATATTCTGTCCAACAGAAGCAGAGCAACAGCTGAACCGAACTGTTAGCTATCCTGATCTACACTGTGTGAGCTGATCAATGGTTTAATAACCGGAACTTAATCGGCTCTGATCTGCTAACAACCACCAAACTATTTTACCAGCTAACATGAACTCAGATGTAAATAATCAGCAGCTATCATAAACTGAAACCCTTTATAAAACCTGATCATTAAGTGACTAAATTAACGTCTTAAAACTTCATTTGTGAACTGAAAGCTTTTTTCAAAAGTGGTTGTTGATTCAAACGTAGGAACAAACGAAGGGAAAGAAAACAAATCAAACTCCTTCATTTACATAAAGGTGTTTGCTGTGTTATTACAGACAAATGAGAAATGAAGGTATTTTAAGGGATTGTAGTTGTAGATTATAGTAGCACAAAATGAAATACTCAAATTCAGTACTTAGGCACAGTACTTGAGTATATTTCCACCACGTCCAGGCTTCAGTGAAGACTATGACCCCAATAATGATCTTACCAGGAACTCATTTCCTTGTGCACTCATTATCTTCCCTTTTCATCTTTTTAATAATAATAACTGATGATCATCATTTTAATGCTATTTGGTTAACAGTAATACATTTTCAGAGGTGGATTAAGGATTAATTAGGGGTTTTAAAGTGGTGTTGCTTCATAATGCAATGTATATATT